ACAACTTCCTATGGAGAAAATTAATTTAAGTCTGGTACTTTCGATGTTTGGCTAAATTTAGCTTTATTTACCCTACTTTTTGGGCGAATTACTACCTGTAATAAAGCAACATCCTAATAAACCAACGGAAATAACACAGATAAAGTTATATAAATACTAAAAACAACAGAAAAAGATTTTATGTTCTACAGCTTCAGCTAGAGTTGAACCTAATGACTTGGTAACTTCATCATCAGAGTAAAAACACACACAACATTGGCTGTCCTTATGTTTTCAACTTTACCACCACTGGTGGGTAGAATTTTTGTTTTAAATTCAGAAAAATTAATTAAAATATATATGAACAGTAAATAAGTGCTGCTTTCATATTCATATGTAGAGAAATGACGATATGTTTACACATGTGCTCACTTACATACGCGATCTCACTTTTTTCTTTACCACTAATTGTTAGCTACTTATATTGTTCCATTTATTAACATTAAATAACATTATTTAAAGCAACCATATTATTTGTTTTACATTAATTTCACTACAGCTACAACGAGGGTCTTATTTTCTTCAGTTTTATATGTAGAACCAATCAGTCACTAGTTTTGTAAACATTAACGAAAACAATGCTGTATCATCTCCTCGTGTGTTTTAATATTCTACGTATTATTAAAGAATAGTATTGTTCATTTTGCACACAAACATGAATTCAATCAAAAAGACATTTAGTAATAAACAATAATGAATCTTTTGTACATAAGAGAAATGAAGCTGTTTACACAACTGTGAATGTCTGAACGTTGGCGGGCCTCTCAAACGCGTCGAAACTCGAGTTTCCGTCAAAATTTGAAATTGCGTTTTGTTTTTTGTCCAAATGAAAAAAGTCAAATTAAAAACTCGCGAAATTTGAGAACCTACTGTGCAGTAATAACCAGTAGAAAATGTTGTGACAGAGTTGTGAACTGTTGTACAGTAATAATCTGTAGAGAATGTTGTAACAGTAAGAGTTGTAAACTGTTGTACAGTAATAAGCAGTAGAAAATGTTGTGACAGTAAGAGTTGTGAACTGTTGTACAGTAATAACCAGTAGAAAATGTTGTGACAGTAAGAGTTGTGAACTGTTGTACAGTAATAACCAGTAGAGAATGCTGTGACAGTAAGAGTTGTGAACTGTTGTACAATAATAACCAGTAGAGAATGTTGTAACAGTAAGAGTTGTGAACTGGTGTACAGTAATAACCAGTAAGAGTTGTGAACTGTTGTACAGTAAAATGTAGTAACAGTAAGAGTTGTGAACTGTTGTACAGTAATAATCTGTAGAGAATGTTGTAACAGTAAGAGTTGTGAACTGTTGTACAGTAATAATGTGTAAAGAATGTTGCAACAGTAAGAGTTGTGAACTGTTGTACAGTAATAATGTGTAGAGAATGTTGCAACAGTAAGAGTTGTGAACTGTTGTACAGTAATAATGTGTACAGAATGTTGTAACAGTAAGACTTGTGAACTGTTGTACAGTAATAACCAGTAGAGAATGTTGTAACAGTAAGAGTTGTGAACTGTTGTACAGTAATAATGTGTAGAGAATGTTGCAACAGTAAGAGTTGTGAACTGTTGTACAGTAATAACCAGTAGAGAATGTTGCAACAGTAAGAGTTGTGAACTGTTGTACAGTAATAATGTGTAAAGAATGTTGTAACAGTAAGACTTGTGAACTGTTGTACAGTAATAATCTGTAGAGAATGTTGTAACAGTAAGACTTGTGAACTGTTGTACAGTAATAATGTGTAGAGAATGTTGCAACAGTAAGAGTTGTGAACTGTAGTACAGTAATACCCAGTAGAAAATGTTGACAGTAAGAGTTGTGAACTGTTGTACAGTAATACCCAGTAGAAAATGTTGACAGTAAGAGTTGTGAACTGTTGTATAGTAATAACCAGTAGAGAATGTTGTAACAGTAAGAGTTGTGAACTGTTGTATAGTTATAACCAGTAGAAAATGTTGACAGTAAGAGTTGTGAACTGTTGTACAGTTATAACCAGTAGAAAATGTTGACAGTAAGAGTTGTGAACTGTTGTACAGTAATAACCAGTAGAGAATGTCGTAACAGTAAGAGTTGTGAACTGTTGTATAGTAATAACCAGTAGAGAATGTTGTAACAGTAAGAGTTGTGAACTGTTGTACAGTTATAACCAGTAGAAAATGTTGTAACAGTAAGAGTTGTGAACTGTTGTACAGTTATAACCAGTAGAGAATGTTGTAACAGTAAGAGTTGTGAACTGTTGTACAGTTATAACCAGTAGAAAATGTTGTAACAGTAAGAGTTGTGAACTGTTGTACAGTTATAACCAGTAGAGAATGTTGTAACAGTAAGAGTTGTGAACTGTTGTACAGTTATAACCAGTAGAGAATGTTGTAACAGTAAGAGTTGTGAACTGTTGTACAGTTATAACCAGTAGAAAATGTAACAGTAAGAGTTGTGAACTGTTGTACAGTTATAACCAGTAGAGAATGTTGTAACAGTAAGAGTTGTGAACTGTTGTACAGTAATAATCCGTAGAGAATGTTATAACAGTAAGAGTTGTGAACTGTTGTATAGTAATAACCAGTAGAGAATGTTGCAACAGTAAGAGTTGTGAACTGTTGTACAGTAATAACCAGTAGAGAATGTTGCAACAGTAAGAGTTGTGAACTGTTGTACAGTAATAATGTGTAGAGAATGTTGCAACAGTAAGAGTTGTGAACTGTTGTACAGTAATAATGTGTACAGAATGTTGTAACAGTAAGACTTGTGAACTGTTGTACAGTAATAACCAGTAGAGAATGTTGTAACAGTAAGAGTTGTGAACTGTTGTACAGTAATAATGTGTAGAGAATGTTGCAACAGTAAGAGTTGTGAACTGTTGTACAGTAATAATGTGTACAGAATGTTGTAACAGTAAGACTTGTGAACTGTTGTACAGTAATAACCAGTAGAGAATGTTGTAACAGTAAGAGTTGTGAACTGTTGTACAGTAATAATGTGTAGAGAATGTTGTAACAGTAAGAGTTGTGAACTGTTGTACAGTAATAACCAGTAGAGAATGTTGTAACAGTAAGAGTTGTGAACTGTTGTACAGTAATAACCAGTAGAGAATGTTGTAACAGTAAGAGTTGTGAACTGTTGTACAGTAATAACCAGTAGAGAATGTTGTAACAGTAAGAGTTGTGAACTGTTGTACAGTAATAACCAGTAGAGAATGTTGTAACAGTAAGAGTTGTGAACTGTTGTACAGTAATAACCAGTGAGAATGTTGTAACAGTAAGAGTTGTGAACTGTGTGTACAGTAATAACCAGTTGAGAATGTTGTAACAGTAAGAGTTGTGAACTGTTGTACAGTAATAACCAGTGAGAATGTTGTAACAGTAAGAGAGTTGTGAACTGTTGTACAGTAATAACCAGTAGAGAATGTTGTAACAGTAAGAGTTGTGAACTGTTGTACAGTAATAACCAGTAGAGAATGTTGTAACAGTAAGAGTTGTGAACTGTTGTACAGTAATAATCTGTAGAGAATGTTGTAACAGTAAGAGTTGTGAACTGTTGTACAGTAATAACCAGTAGAGAATGTTGTAACAGTAGGAGTTGTGAACTGTTGTACAGTAATAACCAGTAGAGAATGTTGTAACAGTAAGAGTTGTAAACTGTTGTACAGTAATAACCAGTAGAGAATGTTGTAACAGTAAGAGTTGTGAACTGTTGTACAGTAATAACCAGTTGAGAATGTTGTAACAGTAAGATTTGTGAACTGTTGTACAGTAATAACCAGTAGAGAATGTTGTAACAGTAAGAGTTGTGAACTGTTGTACAGTAATAACCAGTAGAGAATGTTGTAACAGTAAGAGTTGTGAACTGTTGTACAGTAATAACCAGTAGAGAATGTTGTAACAGTAAGAGTTGTGAACTGTTGTACAGTAATAATGTGTATCACCACAAATGGTACATAGGGTTGCCGCACGAAGGCCCACAGCACCTGTATGGCAGCAATGCACTCTCATTTTTTCAAAAAGTTTAAGTCGCTGTTATTTTCATCTCCAGTTAACTATATTTTCTTTATCTCTTGCTACAGCATCACTTATGTTACTTTTTGGTGGTCCCTTTCCATTCATGATGGTGAGGATTAAATCCTTCACAACGGTGATGCCACTTTTATTATTTGATTTGGCTAACACCAGACGATTTCATTCAGCAGAGAAGGGACCCCATACACAAGAGGTTAATAAGAAAAAATCAAGAAAACAGAAAATGGTCAGTCACTACAATGTGTGCACGCGACCCAGAGGGCAGTGAATTATTGGTGGCCGGCTGGCATGATGATGCCTTGACATGTTGTGGCTTGTATTAAGTACAGGTTTTTGTAACTTGGACCTTCTTAACTCCGGATTCCAGGTACTTTCACTACAGACTGCAATTCCTGAGAACTTTGGGCTTTCACCCAACAGAATTGTCATAATATAATACTCTTAAGAAGTCCCCTGCAATGGAGGTCATGCTACAAACATACATTACATATGCAAACAAGTAGCTACAAAACTAACCACACAGAACATTAAAAATGTAACTTAAATAGGCAACAGATTAAGGAAATGAACAGTCAAATAGGATTAAATCAATACAAATTTATAAATACTGTGTACATAAGTAAAACAAATATACTGCACTGTACTTCAAAGTTCAATGAACAATCTGGACCCCATATTTCATGGCTAAGTTATCTAAATGAGAATTTCACAGCTTGGAAATATATTTCTAGACAGTAAGCAAAGTTTAAGTAAGGATATTTCCAAATCAGAACAAAAATAATTTACTGGTTACTAACATTTGAAATTTTACAGAAAATTTTCAAGAAACTGCTCTTCTTATATTGGTTACTACAATAAAAAAGAAAGTTTAATTATGTTAATGAGACAATATTCATTGAACAATCATATAGTTTACAAATTAATTACTCAACAATTGCAAACTATTGTCTTACCTAAATGGTCTAAATCCCAGCAATGGTGGTGGTATAGAGAGAAGGTGATGTGGAGGAAGGTCGGTGAATGGAGGAAGAAGGTCTGTGTTTGGTGGAAGCAATGGCGGTGGAGGCCCATGAGGAGGAAAGATTTCTGCCATAGAGGGGAGTAACTCCCAAGGGGGAACGCTATCACCTGGCGGGAATGTTGGTGGAGGTACCAGAAAAGGCCCCTTTGGAGGTGGCCCTACTGGTCCACAATGTCCTGAACCATCTTTTGTAAGTTGCTCTGACACCCTTGACATTGGAGGAGACCCCTGACTACCAGTTTGAGGATTCACACAGACAGGGACATCTTCTGGTCGAGGTTTCCTCATCATGCTGGGTGATATTTCTCCATTTGCAGAGATGGGCTGTTGAGAATTTAGAAACTTTGGTGATGTCTGAGGTCGATTTGAGAGGGCGTGACCATTTAGGTTACCCGCATTAACTTGGTTAGCTACCGAGGCAGAGAGATTGGGCGCACACAGTGCAGCAAGAGCTCCTAAGTGATGATTATTAAGAGTGTTCAAATTGGGTTGTGATGACCCATCATGAATAACCATCCCACCTAAAAGATTAGCCATTTGTTGCCCTTTATCACTAAGACTGCTGGGTTGATGTGGAGACTGAACAGGGGGTCCAGATCCAGATATTGATGATGGCTGACCATGCATCACATCCACACCAAGGTTAGACTTCACACCAAGGGTTGATATGGAAAATAGGTCACTGGAAGTTGGAGTTGAGGAGGGAGGCAAGAGATCATGTGGAAGGTCACGTGTTGGGGGAAGAAGCTGGCTTAGTCCCAAGGTGGTTGTGTCTCCCAAGTCAGAACTCCCCAGTAAAAGAGGATCAAGGTCCCCTAATGAAGGAAGCAGAGAAAGTCCTGGAGAGTTGCCACCATTTAGTTGGTTCAGACGTTGCAGGTTATCCATAAAATTCTTCTGTGCATTCAGCTCACTAGTAAACTGGTCAAAGTCTTGGCTGACAGTTCTATTTGTAGGAAGGACAAGAGAATCCACTGGTCCTTTTCGAACATCACAGATGGAGGCTTGACTACTACAGGATATCCCAGGAGGTGAACCTGTACCACCTACCCCAAGAAACGAGCCATAACCAGAATCTCGGGAACTTCCACTCAATTCCCTCTCCCGAAAGAATTCTCCATAATTTCCCTGCAGACCAGTCTGGGGAAAAAAATTATTTATTACAAAATCGAAATATAAAAAAGTAAATCTTATTAGTTCATTTAGTATAGTATTATGATATTATCTGTTCATTTATAATGAGGCATTTGAAGTTATTTAGTGCAAAAACCAGAGAGTCCTGTAAACTGTACAGTATTATAAATATGCAAGGAAGAACAGTATTGTTTTCTCAAATCCAAGAACAAACACAATCTTTGGTATAAGTGATATCTCCGTTAGCCAGAACAATTGGTGCAGAGCTCTTCCGGGAATGAGATTTCCGTATAACGAGACGACTCTCTCAAAGCCGGAAAAAATGCCCCATCCCCGTTATTTTCTAGGTACCGTATAACTCGGCCTATAAGACGGAATTTGAACCTTAAAAAAATCAGCTCAAAATTAGGGGTCGTCTTAAATACCGGGTATAAAATTCTAGTTCTTACATATTGTGGTTTAGCGTGTCAAGAGTGGTGATGGAGAACATCGTAAACCACTCACACGGTCCTACCACTAATTATTTTATACTGAAACTAATGTTTGGGAAGCTGGATTAAAAATAGATTACCGGTATATTAAAATAATAAAAATGTATTATAAACCTGTATAACATACCATAAAATAACAACATACCCCGGTAATAAACATAGCTAACATCATGCACCGCCCGCCATTTACCAGTGACAAGACAAAAAAGGGAAAGTGACCGCTGTAAGAGGGGGTGAGAGAGGGCTATTTTTAGCCTGTCTTTGTGTCCGAGGTGGCCAGTAAGGCATACCGGTATATTTACTGATCATAATACTTATCTCCTCTAAATAATTCCTTTAAAATTTATTTTTTTTACAAAGAATATTCAGTAAATGACTGCAATAATTCTTGACAGTGACTACCAACAGTGGTAATTTTATTCATGCTAAATTTAGGATGAGAATGAAGCCCAAATTGGGTCATCTGATTCAGAATTTGATCCTTAATGATGATGCAAACATATATGTATCAGGTAAACTTCACCTACCACGTATAGCCTCCCTTTGTCATGAAGCAAGTTTATAAATTAAAGAAAATACTTGCAGTGTGTTTAATATATTACAGTATAATATAAATAAATCGGTAAATCTACTTCAAGTAAATGGAAAAATTTTACTCGACACCGACATAGTTTCAGTTAAATAAGACACTTAAGTGAGTCACTAGTGTTTACACTACTGTACACCAGCCGGTAAAATTTGATGCCAATACTTGAAGTGAATTGGCCTTATTTTAAATAACCAACCATAAATAAATGCAAAAAGGAAAAAAGATCAAAGGTGAGAAACATTATATTGTATGTATGTTGTGTTGTCAAAGGAAGAGAAACAATTGAAACTCTGTAATTGTGTGTAAATGAGGCAGAAAGATAGATCAGCAACCTAAGACTTGGTCACAATTTTCGTGATGCCATATGGAAGTAGGATCTACCATTAGACCACACATTATACTTCCAATATCTTCCCAGGTGGTAGTACCTCCCTGTTTGGTAGCTGCCTACTACCTACACGACTGTTAGTAATATTACTTTGATACAACATGATAAATTAGACAAACAATGAAAATAAACAAAGAAAGTTATTTACCAAGAAGCTTCCCTCTGACAGGGTAAGAGGGGGAGGGGGAGATAAGAAGGCCAGCAATGCACTATAAATAATTCATTTAAAATTTATTTTTTTACATAGAATATCCAGTACATGACTGCGATTATAAAATATTGTGAATTAGTATGTGTGCGTGTATATATATATATATATATATATATATATATATATATATATATATATATATATATATATATATATATATATATATATATATATATATATATATATATATATATATATATATATATATATATATATATATATATATATATATATATATATATATATATATATATATATATATATATATATATATATATATATATATATATATATATATATATATATATATATATATATATTCAGCAATGGACTTGTTACGTGGAGCGTAGTTTTATAACGAAGAAGAGATATTGGAAGCATAATGTGTTGTCTGTGGTAGATCTTGCTGCCACATGGCATCACGAAAATTGAAAATTGTGACCAAGTCCCAGGTTGCTGATCTGACTTTCTACCTCATTTACACACAATTGCAAGGTCTCAATTGTTTCTCTTACTATTGACAACACAACATACATATATTGTTCCTCACTTTTGTTTTTTTTTTTCATTTTGTATTTCTTTGTGGTTCTTTATTATTATTATTATTATTAATAATAATAATAATAATATTATTATTATTATTATTATTACATTTCGCCCCCAGGCTGATGTGGGTCGGTATTGCAACCTGGGTGGGCTAATCCCCGTAAAAAAAAGTTAAACACTAACACCTTGAAGTAGGGCTTCTTTTAATTGCTAACGTTTCGGAAATAATCCTTTTTCATCATCACAGCCTAAAAAGTTTTGAAAAAGTTTAAAAATACAGGTGATATACAATAAAAACATAATATTATACGAAAATTTACCTTCGATAAGCTTTAACAATTTAAAAAAGAGCCATCCAATTCAAAACCGACAAAAATGACGAGAGACCTACATGTACATACAAAGCTAAAACAGGAAATAAAAAGTATGAAATAAAATATACTGGGGGATATTACCTTAATTCAGACGAGCCTTAGTGCGAGAAACACAACAATTCACTAGAGGTACACAAGGATGAGTGTCCCTTATGCCCTATATTGTCTGCCCTTGGCACCTCAACTATAATGTCTAAATTCCTCGTTCCCATATTGTCACCAATCACCATTAATCAATACTCTGTTAAAGACTCTTTTAGTTTTGTTAAGGAGCTAACTAGCATCTCATTCAACAACTGTGTTATGGCTAGCTTTGATATACAGTCGGCCCTTAACATACGCGGGGGTTAGGTAACAGAGATACCCATGAATGTTAAAAATCTGTGTACTTTTTTGCCCCCCCCCCCCAAATCCCTGGCCCCCCATGTCCTTATTTACCGTATATACCTGTGTGTAGTTCGAGTTTTTAAGACCAAATTATTTGGCAAAAAATTGGGGGTCGACCTCTAAACGGGTAATAGTTTCGTTAGGTTGAAAAATATTTACCAGTAACTACCAGTAAACAAGGGAAACGATGCACCAACGCACCACCAGCTGTGAGTGTCGGTACAGTTGCCAGGGCAGATCTCTTGCGAGCCCAAAGTAGCCAAATCCATGGTATGGTATTTATAGATACTGTACATAAATTTTTGTTCATTATACATTTGAAACATCAATCTTTGTTAATTAAATTTGAAACAAAAAAACTATGACACCGTATTTTCATTAAAATATTACATCACAAGTATATTATACCTTAACGACTGAATGAATATATTCTCAGAAATAAATATGGAAATGTAATATTTTGGCTGAAATGACGTACATATTACAGTGTAAATTGGGATAAAATCATGACGAAAACAAAGACTCGCTTTCTTTCGTTGTTCAAAAGATTTTACCGTAATCGCTTTTCGAATGGTTTTCAGTTAAAAACTGTTGTACTGTACTGTATTACAATAAAATTCTATCCTATCATTAGCCTCATAATCCCACAACTGAAAACTATTCGAAAAACGATTACGGTAACATCTTTAGAACGAAAGAAAGCGAAAGTCATTGTTTTCGTCATGATTTTATCCAACTTTCCACTATAATATGTATGTCATTTCAGCCAAAATATTACATTTCCATATTCTCAGAAATAAATAGTACAGTAAAAGTCCAAAAATCCGGATGCCAGGAATCCGGACCACCCGAGAATCCGGACTTTTCGAAAACTCAAACTTTTTAAATTTAGCGGGCTTTTGTGGGTTATGTGAATGAATGGAGTTGCTATAAAAAATTAATTTACATAATTCTAAAAATAAAAGTAATTGTAAATTATAGGTAGCTAATTTTGTTAGTTTTGTAATTAGCTTGAACTGAAATGTAAAATTTGAGGCACTATAAATCTTTGGTGTGTATGTGTGCATGCATGAATGCCACAGCTGCACAGCGACAACAAACGACCACACGATCGCCACTTTAAAACAAGCAATCAAACTGTGACAACGTATGTAATTTTGAGTCCTACTCTTTCCATGTACAGAGTACAAGCCCATAATAATGGCCCCTAAAGTAGATAAACTTCGTTGTGTGAAGAGAAAGAAGAACACATTGAAATTGAGTGACAAACTTGAAATAATTAAGAAACTAGAATGTAATGTGAGCAATGCGGTTCTAATGGAAACATACAACATTGGAAAGTCTACAATTTATGATATATAAAAGGCAAGGAATAAAATTCTAGAATTCACAGCTTCTTCTGAGGCTTACATTAAAATTGCTGAAAGAAAAAGTTTACATTGGCCCAAATTAGAAAATCTTAATAAAGTGTTGCACGAATGGTTTTTGTTAAAACGATCAGAAGGTATGGCAATTTCTGGGCCGATGCTTATTGCCAAAGCAAAGTCTTTTAAGGAGCAAATGAACAGTGAATCAGAGTGCGCATTTAGTGATGGATGGCTTAGGAATTTCAAGGACTCGTCATGGTATTAGACAGTTTGTTTACATTTTTGTCTAGTGTTGACTATATTTTTCTTTAAAACTGCTCATTTTGATAAATGAAGCATGCTTTATTTGCAAATGAATAAACTATCAAAATGTACCTGCTCATCTCTTCATTATTCCTCCGTAAATTTTAATTTTAAAAGTACTGCCTGAGAATCCGGAAAATCGAAAATCCGGACCAACCCAATCCCCAAGTAGTTCTTCTTGAAAGTAATGTACAGTATTTAATATTAAAATGCAAAAGAGCTTTAAAACCATAACACTGTACACCGTAATGTACTGGCTGGCATCTCCAGTGAGGTGGCTCACGACCCTGGCAGTGATGATGAGTGAGGTGGCTCACGACCCTGGCAGTGATGATGAGAGTGAGGTGGCT